TTTAAACAATAGAATGAGAATATTAATTTGAACTCATTTTACTTTTTCATACCCACATAGTTGTTTCTGTTACTTACACTTAATCTACAAACTGTATTTTAAGTTGCCCTGGATAACGACGTCTGCTGAGCTAACTTTTTTCGAGTTAGTAGCATAAAAAAAATCACATCATAAACTAGTAATGAGGAAAAGCTATTCTGCCATTCAAGGCGAACCTATATATGAAAAATGAGCTGGATTTGCACGTTCCCAAGAGAAGAAGAACTATTGAGCTGAATTGATTTTTGTTGGGATGTGTGACTGGAGGGTTCACCCTTCCTCCACACCAGCCAGTGAGAACACAATTACAACTGGCTGGATCCTAAAAAAGTTAGTCCGTCTACTCCCTGGGGAGAGCAATGTATCAACTGTGTCAGTATTCAAGCACCACCCCTCCAAAACAAAATTAGGCAAGAAAGCATTTGCAAAATGGTTTAGAAGACAAAATTTCATTAAACTCTTGGTCAGATGTTTACACAGTAGACTTTGTGGGAAAGTATGAAACTGAAGATCTTTGTCACATCGTATTGAAGTCTAACCTATTCCTGAGAGTTCAGTGTTTTTTTTTGATCGAGGCAACTGGTACTGTTTTAATGTTTTATTCAGAAATCCTTTATAGTAGTAAAAGCAGAAACATGATATGTACAAATTAGAAACAGAAACAGTGCAATTTAAAAATAGTTATATTGCAAAATGTAAAGGGAGAAGCAGTTTATGGTTTGACTAAAATGAAAGCAGGGGACCGGATTATATCTTCCTAAACTAAATCAAATTTGAATCTTACCACAACTATAAAATACACATACAACTACAAAATATACATGTCCCTGAAGTTATCTGCAGTCCTTAGCTACGATAACTTAGATATTAGCTGTCAATGATTACTGTTCCTTCAGTTTCTTGATAAATTTTACTGAAAAATGGAAAGCAGCAGCTCCCAACCTTGTGCAAATATTATTTTCCTTT